GAGAGGAAAAAAGGAGAGAAAAGAAAAAAGAGAGAAAGAGGAGAGAGACAAAGAAAGAGAAAAGAGAAAGAGGGTGTGTCCCTCTCCGCCCATGTCTCCCACCGCTACTGGCTGTGGCTTGGGCCTACTGGTTCAGTGCAGCGTCTGGCAGAGGGAGGCAGTAACACCCCAGCAGCAGCCACTAGGGTGCTCAGGCCATCCCAATGGTCCCAGAGTGTGGGGAGCCTGGGCCCAGCACTGAGCAGGAGAGCCCAGTCAGGGCTCAGGCAGATAGATGCCACATCCCACCCGGGCAGAGGCAGCACCAGGGCACCAAGTGCTGGGGCCAGGCACTCAGGGCAGGGTCCCAGTGACACAGGGAGAAGCAGGCGTGGGGGCAGGCTGACCTAGCTGGGCCCTAGGGAAGACAGCAGCTGGAGGAGAGCAGGGATCAGGTGGGAAGCAGGGGCTGCCCTGCATCTCTGCAGACTCAGGCTGTGGCAGGGGGGTGAGGGCACCCAGCAGCACCCAAGGTGGGGACTGGTCCAGCCCAAGTTGATCTTCATGGATGCGCTGCAGCTGCTCTGCCCACAAGGGGACACTGCCTGGCCAGGGCAGGACGCCAGAGTCAGGGGGCTCCCGGCTTGGCTTCCCTTGCATGTTTGCTCTGCTCATGCTGTGCCTGAGCCACTCCTGGTGCAAGGGCCCAGTTGTAGGAGCCCCCAGGCCTGGGAAGCACAGCAACAGGCAGTGCTCAGGGCCAAGCCAGGCTAGGGACTCCAGCACAGAGGCCCTCTGCAGTGCCTGCCTGGACCTTGGTCTCGCACCCCCAGCTCCCTTCCAGGGGCCTGGCCAGGATAGAGGGCACAGCCTGGGGATGGGATGGGGTCAGCAGAACACAGTGTCCCTTCCTGTGTTCTCCTGACTCCACTCCCCATGCCTGCCACAGTGCTAGGACCTGTGGATGCTCTAGAGAGGCCAGAGCATCAACTTAAAAAATATACATTTTTTTTAAACAATTTCCTTGCACACCACCTGGTGTGCCGAGGAAAATGTCTCCATGTGCCACTAATTGGCACATGGGCCGGGGGTTGCCTATCCCTTCCTTAGATGAACACCGCACTGGATCAGTGCACTTCTTGGGCATAATGGAATTTCTTATCATAAGGGTAAAGACTCACCTGTGAAAAGGCTAAGGTTTCTTAAGGGCTGATCCCAGACAAATAAGTTTTCATACAGTGAAAGATTATCACAAATTTCATTGCTTGAAGCTCAATCACAGGCTTTCAATTCAAAAACAGTTTTGACAATTGTTTTGTAAAAATGCCAGTAATATTTCTTTTTGTTTCAATCTGGCACAAAAGCACATTTCAAGACATTCAGAATGGTTGTGAATTTAATGATCATTCTCCAGTGAGTGACCCCTAATAACAAATAATTTTATATGTTGAAGTGGCTAACATTAATAAATAGCAATGTTATGCAACATAATGCTTAAAGAAAATTAATTGCTATGGGTATTTGCATTAAAATACATATAAATGAAATACCTTGTAATCTTCCTGCTCTCAACAGGTTGGTCTGTAGGCCCATAAAGCCTACTAGGGGTATCTCAATTGGCTGGTTGCTTTTTGCTTGATAACAAAGGAAATAGGGAAAAGGGAAGCAGATGCTCTTTTGCAAAAGAATAGAAGAAGAAGCACTCATGACAAGCAAAAGAGATCTTTTCCACTGAAGTGCTCCTAAGTATCCCCTGCTTACTATAATCTTATGCTGAGACCCTAAAAAGTTGAGTAGTTATGAAAATCTTTAATTGCTTGAATGTTTAAAGTTTTCTACCTGTATTCTGTAAAAATAATTAAGACAGTCTATAAAAGATAAAGGAAGTTATCCAACTTTTTTTAGAATCACCAAACAGTTGAAATTCATTACCGTTGCAATTTAAAACTAAACTAAACTTCAGCAGTAACCAATCAAATTAAATGGTGTCATTCACTTCTCTCCTACACACTCTGATAAATTATTTCATTTGCGTTTGTGCTTTGGTACTCAGTCTAAGTCTGAATGATATCCTATTTGAAGGCAACTAAAGCCTAATTGTACTGAACCTTGTTTTTCATTAATTTTATCAGATGTTTTCCAGGTGTTCTTATAGAAAGACCTTTGAATGTATGGAGTACTCTGCAATTAGTTAGGCTTCATAACACACCAGTGAGGAAGGTACAGTACATTCCTTTTCTGTCCTTTATGTAAATTGGTTAAGCGAAGCACACAGAGGTTGCTCTCAGTTGTGTAACATGTCTTTTTGCAGGTTCAGAAATGTAATGAATGGGTTTGCATTGGGCCATGCTTGTCCACTGATATTTTTTCTATTTTACATAAAACATATAGGCCTGTGCGAAGCAGAAAGTATTCACTTCAGATTTGGAGGGACAGTGATTCGATCCGACTCAGCTGAATCTGAAAATACTTGGCTCTGAATCTTATTTGGCCATAGAGTATACAGGCAGGTAGTGGTAGCGGGAGCAGCTGGATGAGCCCTGGCTTGAGCTGGCAGCCCCGGGAGAAACCGTGGCTCATCTGGCTGCTCCCCCCGCTAGGGTGAGGCAGGCCGTGCTGGCAGCCCCAGGAGAAACTGCAGGGAATGATCGGGGGGATCGAAACGGGAATTGGGGAATCAAACCAGGAGCAAGCCCCTGTTCGTTCCCCCAGCTCCCCAATCATTCCTCCCAGCCCCTGCGGCTTCTCCCGGGGCTGCGGCTCAAGTTGTCTCGTCTGACTGCTCGTCCAGCTGCCCCGAACCCCGCTGGGGCAAGGCAGGCAGTGCTGGCAGCCCCAGGAGAAGCCACAGGGGCTGGGGGCAATGATCAGGGAGCTGGGGCGAGTGATTGGGAGCTGGGGGGTTGAACCGGGAACTGCGGGGAAGCCCCTGTTCGTTCCCCCAGCTCCCAACCATTCCCCCAGTCACTGCGGCTTCTCCCGGGACTTCTCCCACCACTGCCTGCCTCACCCTGGTGGGGGAGCAGCCGGATGAGCCGCAGCTTCTCCTGGGGCTGCTAGGTCAAGTCTGGGCTCATCTGGCTGCTCCCTCAGCTGCTCCCACTGGCACTGCCTAGTACCTGCCTGTACAGTCTATGGCTGAATCTCTGAATCACTTCAGAGGCTTCTGATTTGATTTAGAGTTGAAGATTTGGCCCCCGAATCAGGCCAAATCTCGTCCAAATTGAATCAGCTACCGAAGCTTCGCACAGCCCTAATATGCTACATTTTAGAAATTCAAGTATAATATCAAGATTAAAATGAAAAGATAAGGCTCTGTATGCATAAAGAGTATACAACTAATCTGCATCTAAAACAAGAAGGACTGAAAAGGGTATGTTGTTGCAATTTGAAAATCTGTACTATTGTAACTTTAATGTTTAGTGGGGTAATGTTCCAGGTATATTAGGAACCTGCATGAACATACAAAGCCATAGTTGGGAGAAGGAAACAGTAACAAGAGACAATTTGAAAGCCAAGAGACAAATGAGAACTAAGAATTCTTTGGGAAATAAGATGATTCATGCTTTTAAAGGTGAATTTAAGAAGACTGAATTTGAGAGTATGAGACAGGAAGTCACTTAATGGACGTAGCAGGGGTTGATACGACTATAACATCAGTAAAAGAAATGTAGTTGTATTTGAGAGGAACTGTGAGGAGCCGAGGTGGAACAATGGGAGGCTGGAGAGCAGCATGTTCTTTGCTTTTGTGTTGTATTCTGTGGAAATAACTGGCAATGCAATTAAGATGACTAAACCCATATTGCCAAACTACACAGTATGCTTGCTTTATTTTCTCTCTTAAAGTTAATATTCCATTTATTTTTCACCATTTTTGAATCCCTAAAGTTTTGCGTGCCCTGCAGTAACTGAAGAAATCGATATATATTGAAAAAGCATGGGACTAACATTCATAAAATGTTTGTATAATGTATGTTACTGGTATAATTTTAGTTCTCTGTACTAGCATAAGAAACCCACTTTCTTAAAGTAGACATTAGACTGATAACTTCAGACAAGAGTTGAAGATAGTGGCTCAGTTCCCAAACTGGTAGTTCTTTTGGTTGGGTGGCATTGTACGTACATTTCATAAACCTTTAGTTATCACCATGAGGAAATAACCCGGTAATGGCATTTCTCGTTGGTGGAAGACAGCATCTCTTCCATAGAACTAGTTGTACACATATAGGTAGTTACCCACCCTCTTTATCTACCCAGACTAGCTCACTTCTCCTACTTCTAAACTAAGTTCGTTTTCAAAACCAAATGTTCCAAGTAGCTTTAATTTACATAAACACTTAGTTACATTACTAGGTTTGTGTACTAATCATGGGAAGCATCAAAGACTAATTTGATTTTGCCACAAATGCTAGCATTATCAGTATGTGGAGAAGAAAAGAAAGGGTTTAGGTCTACAAAGGCCATATTAGTGATGGTTATGTTGACACTTGGCAGAACTGTATTATTATGATTATAGTTATATGTAGATTTAAGGCCAGAAGGAACCATTATGATCTTGTATTCTGGTCATATGTATAAGGTAAGCCACAGATTTACCTTCCCCCCCCAGTAATTTCTATATTAAAGGCAGTTATTTATTTGTAGTATTTGGACTTTTCCACTTGAGAAATTGTAATTCTAAAAAAGAAATGTAGTTGTCCAAGTAACTATCTTTGCAGATTCCAGAAAATATTACAGCAAAATATTATGTACTAACTAGGATTCACTTTCTTTTAGTGTTATTAGAATTTAGATTACCGAGAGAAATCCTAGGAATAATTAATCATACTACAGAACACAACTGGAAAAAAAAGGGTTTTTTAAAATATACATTGAATCTATAAATGTCCACAGAGATGATGAAGCCAAAAAAGGAAATGGTTTCAGATAATTAAATAATCAAATGTAGTACGCATCTCAGTTGTACCTTTGGACAGGGTGTCATAACTTCCTTAGTGTACAAGAGTTCAGGTCAGCTGTATCAGTAAAGCACTGACAAATTCAGTTAAAGCTTTCCAGAAGTTATTCCACATGTTTATGATGCAACTGCTGTGTCT